ATTTTCTCTCGTCAAGTGCCGTTTGAAAAAGCAAGGAAAATAACTCGTTTGTAATTAGGATTGCTTGAGATGACAGTGATTTCGATTATTATAGGATTTAATGCAGAAACCAATAAACTAATTGATTAAGAGAACGATGCTAGAAGCGACAGGAGGAAAATGCATTCAACACTTTTCATCTGAAGAAACTATGACAAAATTGAATTATCTCTTGCTATTTGGCTAGTGATGTGAAATGGTATTATTCAAAATGTTTCATGGACGACCGGGCGTGAAATGACACTTTAGCGTATACGAGGATTATCGTTCATCGTCGGCAAAAGTTATTTCAAATTTGATTAACTATGGAATTTTTTCGTGGCGATATCAACGTCGATGCTAATATTCGAGATATTGTACATCTGCCATAATTCTCCTACCTCCTCACTGAAACCTTGATGGATATCGCGATGTCTTCCGGAAAATCTTGCACCTTCGTTCATTTTTATATACTTTTACTTTTCATTACCTTCGTATACTTCGAGAATCCTTCGAGGATTTTGAATGGAACCCTGTGTAGATAACATTACACATTGGACAATGGATATTTGTTCTTAAAATTGCGGCGCAGGAGATTTTTCTGGAAAATCAATATGGTGACATTGTGATGTCATCGATCGAATTTTTCTCAAGCAGCAGAATTCTTGATAAATAGTTATTTATTATTAAAGGGAAAATAGTAGTAGATTTTAGCTACAGGTCGTGTTGTCTCCCGACGCGTAGCGTATTCGTTTCTACGAATCCATCGAAGTGGGTAGATATTATTCAAGTGATTCCTTACTCTGCATTCAAATAGTTCGATGGTGCACCATCTTGCTGAAACTACATTCTATTGCTTTCAGGTAACTCTTCTAATAATTGCGACAGATAATTTCTCATAAAGTTCCAATAAACTATTCTTGTCAGGGTACCATCGAAGAAATGTGGCTTCATCACATGTTCTCCAACGATTCCTCGAACATTCAGAATAAACAGCCAAAATTATTTCCAAAATTCAATTATTCGAAAATAGCTACGAATTTCAAAATGGATGTTGAGACAGAAAATGTTCGTGTTCCAATTTTGTATCACATTGCCGAAAAATATATGGGGTGGTCCATTTGAAAAACTCGAGAAAAAACAATTCAAAAAGTTCCGAATTGAAAAACCATTTACAGTCACCCTGTATAATTTGAGGGCATGAAAATCCTTCAGAAATATCACACATCTTCCCATCAGATGATTTTATGGTGATCTCTCAAATTCGAAAATTGCGACGACAGTGTTTTTTTTTTCGGTATGATTACATTATACATTATTTCGAAAAAAAAAAAGGCATTACTTTCAGATGGCCGAGAGGAAGTTAACGATATTATAGGAGCGGATGGAGGTCACAGGGATGCTTCAAAAATGAGCTAATATACATGGCTTTCCATTTAAAAAAAGTGTTTCCGACTCTCTTTTTCGGTGCGCCTGTATATAAATGCGATATGTGGCAATGATATCTGGCTATCATAGAACTCGAGCAATCGAGCTCCGACGCACTATACAGGGTGTTTCCTAATTAAATGTCAATATTTGAGGAGGTGATTCTTAGGTCAATTTTAAAAAGAAGATTTCATATGAACGTATGACCTGAACGTCTCAACTTTCGAGATACAGGGTGGAAAAGTTCTCAAAGACAAATACTTTTTTATTTATATATGTAATACCACTTCAGATATTACAATGAAATTAGGCACACATAGTATATGTATCAAAAAGCATCAGTTAGTGTACCACATGTTTTTATTTGTTGCTACCAGCGGTGTTCGTATCGTACTATTAAGCTTGAAATTGAAATCATTCCTGAAATTCTCAATAATTCTAAGCAAATTTTATATCTAGAATTTTTTCAATCTGATGCACGGGTTTCGCTTAAAAAATGAAAACCTTCTCACTGCATGATCTCAACAATAATTAAGAGAACAAACTCAAAGTCTCGCTCCAAGTAAATTATAATCAAATCATATATGCTATATGCTACATGTTTCGACTCCTAGGAGTCATCATCAGGCTAAAATACAACATTTATAAATGAAAGAAGTTCCATCACTATTGGAAAAAGGGTGACATACCTTGCTAGGTAGGAGGAGAAAATAAACTATAAAATTGAGAACATAGTTCTTAAGGGTTCTAAGCCCAAAATAATTTCAAGTAACATTTTTGAATTTTGGTTTTTTGAACCCCCAAATAAACATTTTTCTAAGATGCTTCTTTTGGATCAGATAAACATTGTTTACAGCAAATGGCGCGGTTATGAAGTGAACAAACCGACAGACTACTTGATTTGACAGATAAAAATTATTATTCCACAAACAAGTGACAAATGTCATCTATCAAAAACACAAAACATTGAAGTTGATAGATGACATTTGTCACTTGTTTGTGGAATAATAATTTTTATCTGCCAAATCAAGTAGTCTGTCGGTTTGTTCACTTCATAACCGCGCCATTTGCTGTAAACAATGTTTATCTGATCCAAAAGAAGCATCTTAGAAAAATGTTTATTTGGGGGTTCAAAAAACCAAAATTCAAAAATGTTACTTGAAATTATTTTGGGCTTAAAACCCTTAAGAACTATGTTCTCAATTTTATAGTTTATTTTCTCCTCCTACCTAGCAAGGTATGTCACCCTTTTTCCAATAGTGATGGAACTTCTTTCATTTATAAGTGTTGTATTTTAGCCTGATGATGACTCCTAGGAGTCGAAACATGTAGCATATAGCATATATGATTTGATTATAATTTACTTGGAGCGAGACTTTGAGTTTGTTCTCTTAATTATCTCATCACCTCCAATTTGAGCATGGACTACTACCAGAGATCTCAACAATATCTTTAATATGACAATATCATCACAATGCAGAAAAATAGATTTCATTTTTTAGATTAAATTTCAGGAATACGATTCACAGTGTATTGTTTCAGTCCGAATCACGGTTTCCACCTGAAAAATAATTTGTCTGCCTTGTATTAACGATATTGTTATGATCATGCAGTGAAAAGGTTTAACTTTTTAAGCATAAATCGTGCATCAGATTGAACAAATTTTGGAAATCAAATCTGCTTAGAAATGATTGAAAATTCCAGGAATGATTTCAATTGCGAGATCAATCAATGGCGTACCAGCGATGTCTGCCAAAATATGTATGTGAAATTCCATACTGACTGATGCCTCTTGAAACATAGTACATGTATGCCAAATTTCATTAGAATATCTAAAGTGGTATTACAGATATAAATAAAAAACAATTTATTTTTGAGAACTTTGCTACCCTGTATCGCGAAAATTAAGACGTTCAGGTCATATGTTCACATGCCATTTTCTTCTTAAAATTGGCGCAAGAATCGCCTCCTCAAATATTGACATTCAATTAGGAAACACCCTGTATAATGCTTATAGGAATTAATTTTTTTCTAAAGAAGTTCCAATATTCTGAGAATCTTGAGGTTTTTACTAGGATCTAGTTATGGTTTCCTGATAAGTTATGAACTTGTTCATCACCAGCTATAGTATATGATTCACGGTTTAACGACACCGACCCCAACACCCTGTATATTGTTGAGTTCTAATGTCAATATCGAAAGCTCCTATATTTCCTGTGTTGAATAAATTATTTGTGGAGGTTTGTGGTAATCCAGCAATATGTTTGGGGAAATAAAATATTAATATGATCTCTGAATTTCACCTTCAGGATTTGTTTTTTCACTCGTTCTTCGTTCCTAAGAGATTTCAATAATCTCTTCAGCAAACGCTCGCATTTCCAGTCAATATAAGTATTCTGAAATCCATCAGAATAGACAGGGAGTAGAAATAATATCGTTGGAAACGAGTAATGTTATCAACTTCCCATATACAATTGCTTTGTCTTCGGGTGGGAATAATTAGTATATTATTCAACAAGCATATAATGAGGGCTAATATTCACGAGGGTTGAGTTTATGTCACGAGAGTAGCGAGTGCATTAACCTGAGTGCATAATAGCTCATCATATGCGATTAGAATACGACTATTGTATTCATAATACAATCAAGATGTGTCCCGGCGTGTTCGCCAAAACTTAGCAATCTCAGTAATAACACCGAACATAAACAGAGACACGTTGATGTTCGGTGGTAATAATAAATTTCCCCGCCCAAGAGTTGGTCATCCATTTCATAGGGCTCCTGCCCCTGTAAATAATTTTGTCCACGACTACTTTTTCTTTGAACGAAATCTGATACAAATTCCCAGATGGTTGGGTGGACGAGCAAAATGTTTCCTAGGGCACCTTTTGAACCCTGCCAATTGACCGGTAGACAACATATAGTATATATAAGTATTGCTGATTATAAACAGTTTATATAACTTGAAATTCTCTGTATGTTGTACTAGTCCCAACTAATCCTCCACTAGTTAACTATAGAACCATTATTTACTGCCAAGGTAGTTTTTGTCATTTCATGAATCACTATAGTCAATAAAGACATAACCACCTCTGTTATAATTAACGGTGAGATAGAGTAGGCCCTGATCTGATGCGATATTAACAGAAATGGCACTCGATTCTAGTAGCTATTTATATCAATAACGACTTGTCATGACTAGATGACTAGATTTTAATTAGAAGAAAAAAAAAGTGCTTCCATAGTGACATAGGTCCACATTTCAGTTTCACAGAACTATAATGATTGAAATATAGTGCTAGTAGTGAAAAGAATGTAATATACACCTTGGCAGTGAAGAATCACCACGGCATCTTATACCCCTCGGCTGAATCCTCTGTACTACCTTGATATATAAATATCTATTATTATTATTATTATTATCATTAATAATATCAAATTGATATTCATAATAGATCACTTGGGAAAAAGAATCATTGAAATAGAATTTGTATTGTGTTATGGGACTTATTTGATTGTTGATTGTAATTAGTGATACATTTTTTTTGTTATAGGAGTATGGGAACTGCAGCAGTTCACTATAGCGGAGCATCCATCTTCATTCTTCTTCTAGTTGGTATCGTTTTACTTGGAATCACGACGACAAATGCTGCGCCTCATCCTGCTTTCAGGTAGTTGATATTTTTCTCATACAGTGTGTCTCACGACTGATGTTCCTGATTTTGAGATCGTCAGTCTATATGAAATAACCATTACCCATATTCCTAGATTATATTAGGAAGCCAGATCGGGCTCGAGATCAGGACATCAACATAACCTATACACCGACGCAACTTTCTTTCTGGAAAATCCTTGGGAAAATCCGCTATGGTACCCCTGTATCTTCCGTGATTATTGGTGGGATTCTTAAATCCTCAGGAGCAAGAAATATACTACTAATACACTCAATGACAAATAAGTGAGACTATTCGCAGTAATACCGGGTGTCACAAGGTCCCGGGCCATCCCTTTAACTTCTGTATTCGTAAACGGATGACATTACAATCCAATATGGCGGACTTCCGGTTTTTCTGAAAATACCAGCAACTTTGATTTTGCAAATGAAAAACCTGTTCAACATTGATAACGTCGTGCTCCAAAATATAGCCTAAATTCAAAGTAGAATAACTCACGGATTTACTCACCAATTTGAAATCGGTTTTCATCGATGATTAGCCTAATCTCTTGACAGTTTGTTGTGGCAATATGAAACTCCTGTAATTTCAGATAACATTGCTACAGGGTGATAATTGAATAGGTGTAAAATTGCATCGTGGTCGTCACCTTACCGTTTGAACAGATAATTTTTTTAATTTTTTTTCTCACCTGTATCCTCTTGACTGATGCTTTCTCTCGAAACATTTTCGGAATTTTCAAATTCAGAGCTTTGATAATCGCATCATGAATATTCATTCAGAATGATGCATTTTTAGACGATTAATTGAATGAAATTGAAAGTTGGAATCTTTCTCCAAAGAATCAACGTTGTATGTATAGTCGTAGGATATGTGATCGTGTTCGAACACAGAAAATTATTAAAAAGTCTATACAAAGTGATACAAGAAATACTGAATGATGAAATGGAGAATAACGTACCTAATCTTCAGTAGATGAAACATAATTTTCTTTGTGTTACTAGTGGAATAATAGAGTGTTACTTCGCCAAGAGGATGTCTGGTGTCTGACCTCGAAATGGTTTTGTAATTTCTTGGATCGAATGTCATATAATGAAAGTACGCATTTTTAATCGAAATGATGCATTTTCGTTAAGATACATTATGAAATTCAAGAAATCACGATTGTAGTTCCAGAAGTATGAAATTCATATTCATTCTTGACGATGGATATACAAGGTGCGATAAAAAGTATGTCCAGATCCAGATTGCCCCGGGATAGAGAAGGATATGTTTAAACGTGATGATAATCGCTATGTTCCGAAAAAGAAATATAGTGACGGTCATTGTCGAAATTTGTGAAATGTATAAATATAGCAACTTTTCATGAGCTTTATACGAGGAAATATGAAAGAAACTGCAGAATTGCCATATATTCGATATAATGTTTTTCATACTAATGGAGATGAATACTGGAAGTCCTCATGAGTCTTATACGAGGTAATATAAAAGAGACTTCGAAATTGCCATATATTCGTCCATACTTGTTACCATTGCATCTTATACTGATCTAGCACCTACAACATGGTCTTCCGAAGGAAACATTCCTCATTGTCACTCAGTGTCAAGTTGAATGGTAATAGAATAACTCTTGAATGCTCATTTCTGCATCATCTCTTAGACAGGGTGATTCATAAGGAATTTATAATATCTCACCTGATGCTATAGATTTGACGAATTCCGTTGAAAAAAATATAGATTTTCTAACTTATACTCACAATTATTGCTATTATGTTTTCTCACGTCAAAAAAATCCTAATTGCATATTGGATTGACGTTCATTCCAATATGTGAAGTCTCGTTCATATTACCTCGTATAAACCTCATGAGGACTTACTGTATTCATCTTCATAAGTATGAAAAACATTATATCGAATATATGGCAATTCTGCAGTTTCTTTCATATTTCCTCGTATAAAGCTCATGAAAAGTTACTATATTTATACATTTCACAAATTTCGACAATGACCGTCACTATATTTCTTTTTCGGAACATAGCGATTATCATCACGTTTAAACATATCCTTCTCCATCCCGGGGCAATTATTGGTCAGATAATCTACCATTTCCACTCATGAAGCAAGGTTGTCAAGTCACCAATTATAATCGGCTGAATCCTCGGTATATGTATAGTCTTGGTCCCTGGGTAATAATGATATGCTGTTCTACCTTGGTGTATAAATAACTATTTCTCAAAGCGGCATAGAAAGTGGCTTCTCTGACACTTGACATGCAGGAAATAAGTTTGTGTACTATAGCCCTATATAGTTTCCGTTGATATTCTGAATTATCTATTCGGTCACTTCGATACTAAATCATCCCACCTATAGCCACCGTTCAACTTTTCTGCCAAAAACATTATGTATATAGGTTCAAGTGAATTACAGAATGTGGGTCATTTGCAATAAGTAGGACTTGTAGAATGATATTAGGTAAAACATAACATCCAATAACTTTTTTCTCTGCTATTCGCTTCTACCTCAATATTTCATGACGACAAATTTTATCGGAACTTCTATAATAATTATAGGAAAGTCAGGTAAGCAAACAGAACGGAAATTAAAAATGGTTTATCTCGTAAGTACTATTATTTTCATTCAAGAATTATGAAATTATTACACCAGCTTGAAGAGTGTCAACATTCTGGCTTGGTGAAAAATAATAGCAGACAGTTTCCTCACAATTTTTTTGTGTCCTCCTACCTTCGGTGAAACCTACATTCAATCAACAGAAAAGTTTTTTGGGTTCAAGGTCAAATGCCTTCAAAGTGATTTTTGAATTTTTCAAAAGTGGCGACAACTTCATCACATAATTATATTATATATTATTCAGCTTCATGTTTTCAGTTAGTTGTAATTGATTTGATATAAAATTATCTGATAATAAGAACAATGAAGAGACAGAGTGAGAAGTATTTCAAATACTATCTGCTAGATTGACCCACGCCGTAGATGTTCATTTCATGAGATGTTTCAAAAGTTTTGTAGTTGATAAAAACAAGGTGTCTCTGATTATTAGTAGGAGATTTCTCTTTCAGATCTATGGAAGTAAAATATTTTCAACGGAGTGACGCTCTTGGTTTCTGATTTGTTTTCACTACAAATATATTGAAATAACGATTATATTTCTATTTTTAGAAACAAGGAGTGGAAATTTCAAATAATCAAGGAAGATGAGAAATATTTTGTTGACAACAAATTTTAAATAAATATGAATAAAAAATATATATCAATAATGAGGTTGAAGTAATGTAAGTTATCGGTTAAGTATAGTGTTAATGATTTTTAACAAGCAAGAGACAGTGACTCATTTCTCGATTTTGCGAAATTATTCAGAAATTCTCTGATTTATTCCAACATTTTCATCCCATCAGTCTATTTTCCGCGGTAGTACATATACTTGATGGAAAATAATTTGTGACCTACTTATAATAGCGCTTTATTTTGTTGATATTTCCATGGATGACTGCGCCAGTTGTTACATATTAGGATTCTTATATTTGTTTCCTTTTTCAGGTATATTTCATGTTTAATACTCAATATTATATACTGCATGACAATCATAGCGAACATTGTGGAATGATAGATATTTTGTAATTTTAAGTACTTATCTGTATCGTTATGATTGTGTGTCATTGATACAGGAAGATTCATCAGAACATTTTTCCTTGAAGAAAATTGGGGGGGGAAGCAATTACCCCCAAATTACGCCCATGCCAAAAACGGAAATGATCCAAAACTGAGATATTCAAACTTCAACACTTTTGAGGTTTTTGACAGGAAAAAAATGTTAGTGCATGTGTGTGAAACGATCCCCTGAGAAACCAATAAATTGTGTTACATCGTTATGCGTTTTGACCACTATTGACGACTCATCCAATTGGGTGTTTCGGCACTATATCTATCACCGATTGAACTTCGCGTTCTGACCAACAATTCGACGTTTCATCCATTTGGTAATGAGTCATAGACACGATTTTGACACAATAACTAGTAACTACCTGAAAAAATATTCAAGTGACTCAAAATTGAATTGTTCAGTATAAAAACTACATTGAAAAACTTTAGCGTGACATTCCTAGGACACAAATTGAATGAATCAAGTAGATATTTTGTTATTGCAAACCAGCTTTTCGAAACAATTTGTATTATTTCTGTTCGCAACAGACTTTTAATTACATTGGTGGGTGGCATATTTGAATATCACTTTGTAACAGAATACACATTCAGATAGGTATTTCAAGTTATCAAGAACAAACAAATAGCTGACTGTTACACAAATGATATATAAATTCATCTTGACCGTTATTGTCACGTTTGGATTCCTTCTTGGATTCTAAGGGCTGATGAGCTTCCGAAATACCTGAAGGAGAAACAGAGTGATTCTGGTTCAACTACTTGTTTATCTTACTAGAGATACACTGTCCCAAATCTTAGAAACTGAATAAACAACGCAAATATGCTCGATAGTTGGATTAGTATCCTTGTATAGAATATAGTAGTACCTATTCTATAGTATATTGAGAAATTCACTGAATAATTATCATTATACCAACTTCATAGTTCAAAGAAGTGTTTATCATAGATATAATATTGGGATGAATTTTGTTGATTCAACTTCCAGAAGATTTATTGAAATTGTTGCAACTTCATAATTGAAGGAATTGTTTTTCGAAGCAGTATAGCCAGGAATGGGGGGAGTGGGTTGGAGCTCCATCCCCAAACAAACAAACGGTTAGATTTATTTTATAAAAACTAGTATGAAAACGAAGTTAGCAGTTGCCTATACCGGGTGTCCCAGATCTTTTCATATAGCCAATATCTCAGTTATGCCGCTTGGAAAAAAAATTACAATTTTGTCAAACCCAAATTACTTTTGAGCCGCGTGGTGCTCAAGAAGCTGAAGGTCAATTATTACCAAAAAATCTAGACAACAATATGAAAAACAGTTATCTGAGTTTATCAAATGGTGCAAAGAACGGGACGTAGAAAAAAGAATAAACGAAGAATTTATGGAATCTAAAAAAATACAGAAATAAAATCTCTTTCGGATAGTGTACTTTTTTGAAATACTTCAAGGAACTAGGAAAGGCGTCGACTCTTTGGTCAAAATATTCAATGTGGCATAGTGCCACATTATAAAATGAATACCATTAAGCTACATTACTCGGATTCTTTGAATAGAAAAAGTATAGTGTGCAACATGTGGGGAAAAGTACTTTTCCCACTTGTTGTACAATATACTATTCCATCTTTATGTTGAAAACTGGAGTCGATTTGTTTTCAAACGTCCGGAGCTAAGTGGAAATTTTATATAGTTTCGATTTCTCTTTGAAAAGTTTTTTTATAACAAGGTGCCATTTCGGGTGCCACTGACATTCGATTGAATTTTTCTTTCAAGCAGCTTTCAAGCAGTGAGATTTTGGAACAAATCATCTGATCTGCCCATAGAACATGTATCCCAAAATATGTTTATGCATAAACGTTCTACCCACCTCGCTGATTAACCTACAGACAGTATCTGAAAATTGCATAAATAAAAATACAACGCCTTTTCAAGTTCGTTTAAAACGGCACACTTTATCATCTCTTTTATATCATTCGCCTCACGTTTATCTTGAATATACGTTACCTAATTATATAACCTTAGCTTTATCCTAGTCCACGGGTATATTAAGATGAATTTTCTCGCGGTCCAGAGAGACCGAACAAGAAAGATTAGTTCCTCGAGGTCTCTCCTAGAAATTTAGTATAACCTTCATCTATTCTAGAATCTTTCTCATGACATATTATTCCAATACTTGTCGATGTAATATCGATATATCAAATAACGATATACAGGGTGTCTGTAAAAGGTCTTTACAAAAACATACCACATATTCCTTAGACCAAAATAAGTCGATTTAAGTAAAATTACCCCAGTACAAAGTTGCATCGATTGGGCTCCAGAGGGCCTTGAAGTAACAATTTTTAAATCGTTTTTCCCATATAAATTCAAAACGGCATAGGTGATTTTGCTGAAATTATTTGGTAAATTGATAGAGTTTTATGTGGCGAAGAAATGGTGTTAAATATTTGTCCGATATTAAACCATAGGCGTAGAACTTGATTTTTTTTAATAATTGCACCTTTAACAATTCTTCGCCAATGGAATGAAATGAGTTTTAGTGTGAAATTCAGATTGCGCAACTCATTTACTTTGAGAAAGGTACTCTTGATAAAACTCGATTACTCTCAGGGTTTTCGCTAAATTTCTGTTTCAGTTATTAAGAGTGTATAGGTTTCACAAAAATATTTATTTACAACATAATCAAAATAAATGGAAATTTCACAAGAATTATTCAAAATGTTCACCATTTTCACGAATATAAAGATTTATACGTCTAAGAAAATTAATAATAATACATAGGCGTTGAACTTGATTTTTTAAATAATTGCACCTTTAAAAATTCTACGCCAATGGCAGAAAACAGGTTTGAGTATGAAATTTGGATTGGGTACTCATTCACTACAAAAAAGTACCCTGGATAACACTCTATTTACTCTCATGGTTTTGACAAAGTTGGTATTTTAATAATTATTGTTTATGTTTTAAAATTACTAAAATACAAATTTCGTCAAAACCATGAGAGCAATAGAGTTTTATCAAGAGTACCTTTCTCAAAGTAAATGAGTTGCGCAATCTAAATTTCATACTCAAACTCCTTTTCTTCCATTGGCGTAGAATTTTGAATGGTGCAATTATTTAAAATATCAAGTTCTACGCCTATGTATTATTATCGGACAAAATTTCAAGACCATTTTTTTTGCCACATAAAACTCTATAAATATACCAAATTTCAGCAAAATCGCATATGCCGTTTTGAATTTATATGGGAAAAACGATTTAAAAATTGTAACTTCAAGGCCCTCTGGAGCCCAAACGATGCAACTTTGTACTGAGGTAATTCTATGTGGTATGTTTTTGTAGAGACCTTTTACAGACACCCTGGGTTGCCGGTAGGTGGGTTCGATCCCCACCACGACCGCAAAAAATTTTCTGATGTCCTGAGAAAGTGTTTGGGATCACACGGTAGAATGTAAGACCCCCGTAATTCCCTGCTCGCACAAGTCTCTTGAAGACATCTGAGGGTTGGTCATAAGGGGGCAACCGAATTATGGATAAGAACAATTTTAGAACAACAATTAGTAGGGTATGAAATGGATTTCCGTTTTTAGGTCGTGCAAAAATCTGAAAATCAAATGGACCATGCAGATTACCTCTCATCAAAACGTTTTTCACTTTTTGGCAATCCATTTTTCGACAACACGAAATTTTTGGAAATTTTTCCTAGTCGAAGACGACGTTTCGAAATTGGAGTTGGAGTGGTATTCTGTAAGAAAATGTCACATCGAAATTTTAAAAAATACTAGGATAAGATGATGCTAAATACAAAATATCGGCTTTAGTTACGCACATCATTTTACCTAGGTATATGAACGTCAAGAAGTTTCTAGTGTAATTTCATGCTTCTTATTCCAAGGAGGAGAAAACAATTTACAGAAATGTGTTTAGTTGCTATGGTTACGATACAAAATGCAGGCTTCCAATTGGTCGAAAACGTAAGGTGTGAAATTTCCAATTGAATTAACACTGTTATTTGTTTCAGTTATCCCCGATATTATTCTCCAGTTTCATATGATGGACAGAATCCAGAATACCTGTTACAAACGATTGCAAAACTTAGGCAAGCACTTATCAACGAGGATGATCTAGAGAAGTTAGTGAATTTAGTATATTAATATTATTCAATAAATCATATTTGCTTTGAACCAAGATATCTCAACTATTTGGTCAGTCGGTGTTGAACATAATATAAGATGAAAATCTCGTGAAAATCATACACTCACCGACAAAAAAAAACCGGCCACCAAATTGTTCGCCCTGTAACTTTTTCAATTCTTCTTTGGTGAGATTTTGACCAGATCGTGTACTCATGTTTCGGAATGTCAGCCTGGATATTTGTTCCTGAGAAAATCTGATACTTTGACCATTATACAGGGATAAAAAAGTTACTCTTTTACCATTAACCTCGCCATTAACTTCCTAACGCCCTGTGGAAAAGGTGAGTTGTTAAACTTAGCTTCATTATGTTTGGATTGAATTATGATCCCTTCTTAACACGATTGTTTTCGATTCACGTCGATAACCACTTTTTGAGAGTAGATACAATGTAGTATGTTTTTTCTATTTTTATTATTAATAATTCAGAACCATTCTCCAACCTTCTGCTTCATCATGTTCTGAATTTAATTGTGATGCTTTTTCTTTCTTTCTTATTCATTGTGGGATGTAAACAGGACCAGTGCCGTATTATCCATAAGGCAAACTAGGCACATGCCTAGGGGCGCGAGATTACAAAAGGGTGCGTCGTTGTCGAAAATATGCGTTGGAGGAACGGAAAACGTTGGTGCGGACGGTGAAATTCCCGATATTCACAATAACTACCCCTCTTACTTCCTTCACCCTGAACACGTATATTAGTAGTTATGATTTATAATATCTTATGACCACCAGAGGGGCGCCGATGAGATGCTTGCCTAGGGCGCTGTCGACATTTAATCCGCCCCTGAACAGGACTTGCCCTCTGAGTGGTTATATAGTTACAATAAGGTATAAATCATATAAGGATGATATAAGAAGAACAATTAAAAAACAATTATTGGGGAGTACAACTTGACAGATATTCAGTGGTGCTCTTATTGTGAAAAGTGAATATGACTTGAAATATGTAGAAGCTATCTGAAGATATGTTGATGCTAGTAGAATTTGATAAAAATTGTAGATCTTTATTATACTGTGTAGAGGGAAAATTAGAAAATAGTTTGTATTTGCTTGCTCTGTGAAATATAAAAGAGTTTTGCGAGTGTTTTAGTCAGGTACAGCATATCGAATCTGACTTACAATTTCGTTTGAGTCTATTTTACAATTTGTAAAGAAACTTTACGTCTGGGATTTTCCTCCGGTGTTCAAGTGAAATGAGGTTTAGTTTTTTTCGAACGGTGCACCTTTCGCTGACGTGCCAAAAGCATTTCCTGTTTACGTAATCAATGAATTTGTTTTGAATACCCTCCAGTTTTTGAGCGTAAATATTATAAAAAGGGTTCCAAATCACTGTGCCGTATGTCAGAAATGGTATAATGGTTCTAGATTCACGCCGATATATTCTTTTCCACAGAAGATACAAGTGTTTTAAGAAAATATGGGATTTTAAAATTTTTAATAACAGTAATTCAGATCCTATAGAGCGTCTTAGGGATGAACGGCAGAGGCACATTCGCCTTTGTCCGGTCTAGTCAGATGATTCGCCCTTTAACCCTCCAGTACTAATATGATTTCAGTAACATTGGTACTAACATCGGTCTGTGATACTGGATGCGAGAAATGCAATTTCATTTGTCATGTCGTACTTAGAAAGTGATTTTATTCATAAAAATGCATTATTAGTTAGTACACTTTTCATGATCACTTCACACTATTTATGAAGAGAATAAACAATTAGGCTATAACTTCTTCGGAGTTACCGAAGTTGTCTTTACTAGTGAAAAAGGGCTATACTTCGGGTTTTGGTTGAAACTATTGTCTCGATGTGCAGTAATGCGTGTTCTGAGTTAGGTTCCAATTCAGACCTCTTTTCGAGATCTTCTACTGACTCTGGTTCTAAATCTTGATCCAACTCGGAATCTTCTGAGCGGTTTTCAACATAATCTTCCTCACTGGAGTCTGGTAGGTCTGCCACCAAAAATGCTATTACATACTTTCCACTAAGGCAATAGCTCCGTAACTGAATGCAATTAAGATAGCTAGCCGCCCAACCGAATCGAATTGCGCTGCGCAATAATATGGGGAGAATAGTGGGGGCTCAGTCTCTCAGACGACATGTTAGTACTGAAGGGTTAAGTATTTTAGGCAATTCTTGTAGACCACCTGAGAAATTCGATCAACTCGATGCCACAGCGGTTGAATGCTGTACAAACTCGAGGAGGGCATACTGCATACTCGTTATTGACTACAGCTCTGCTTTGTATTTGGTTATTGTAATTAAGTTTTTTTCCGGTGAATGCTATGAATATGAGGTAAAAATAGGTAATATGAATTTTTAAAGTTGTTGATCGATAAGTTTTGGTGGGTTCTGGTCATTAATAAAAATTGAAAATGCCATACTTTCGTATCTTCTCCTGAAAATAAGATATTGACGTGAATCAAAAACTATTGTGTTGAGAAAGAATCACACTTCAATTCAAAGTATAGTGAAGCCATCAAGTTCAACCACTCAAATTCGCCACAGGGCGTTAAGAAATAATGGGTGAAGAAGTAACTTTGGTTTTTCCCTGTATGATGATCAAGTCATCAGCTCTTAACGAAAACTAATATTCAGCCATTCTGGATACATAAATCTACGATTTGATCGAAATTTCACAAAAATCGGAAAAGGATTAAAAAAGTTACAAGGCGATCAATTTTTTGGTGGACGGTTTGTTTTGCTAGTGAGTGTATATCTGTATAAATCGCTGAAATTTTGTTTTCAAATATGTACAGTGCATCCCATTTTTGGTTGAGACTGCCAGGTATCTCAGTTGTTATTGAAGATAAAAACCTTGCGATTTTCACGTCCCTTTTCTCCTTTTTCGTGAAACTAAAGATGGCCTAATCAAATTTTGCATACCTATTTCCCTTTATGAGAAACAGTGCGATTTTGGAAATCCGTACTTTTTGAACCCCTTCTATATCTACGAAGTAGAATAGGAACGTGAAAACCGCAAGGCTAAGTCTTCTATAAAGGCCAAGATATACCTGGTAGCCTCAATCATAGGGGGATGATGCACAGTACAATGTACATATTCGTCTGTAATTTTGCTTGTTAAAACTCACCACTCATATAATCTCACTAAACCGAACATTACCAAAGTTTAGAACTGATTATTGAGATGCGAGTTGAGATGTTGCTACCATACATGTAGAGTTGTCCTGTTCTTTATATATTTGTACCAACATTTTGTTAACTCATATATAATCATGGGGCCTCCTCCTAAATGTATTCACCAGATCATCAATATCTATTCTCAATTTCATCATATAAAGATAGTGCTAGAAAAATGAATTTCGAATTTCAGAAACAAGTCCTCATCTAGCAAACGTTCAGTGCAAAATTCTAGGTGAAAAATAAAAGAGAGTGATTATGGGATTAAGGAAGCATAAGAATCCTTCGACAGAACCTTCATCCATTTATCATACGAATCTTTGCTGATGATCAAATTCAAACGTTAACCCATCAGGTAACTTACTCAACTACCCCCTCACTCGAAATTTATTGTTCAGAGAAAAATCCAACACGAATATGATTGTATTTCGGTGGGTCGCATAATTGCATTAATCATATTTTCATCAATTCAATTCCAATGGATTCAAGGTAATGATAAATAGAATAATTATAGTAAATGTTTTAGATTCATTACATATTAGGTAGGTATTTTCATTATTTTAATGATACAATTCAATATTCTGTGGTATCAACAAGGAAAGTAGGTAGTTGTTTTCTGTTAGATTTCACAATGATTTTCTTATTTAAAGTAAAAATAAACAGGGCGACATTTTGAGAATTTCCCTACCTCAATAACTTCCTCCCAGTGAATGATATGAGAAGTCGAGAAAACAGGTCGATTTAATTTTCGAGGTAAACATTCGTTTCAGCCCTCTTTGTTCAACCCCCTAGGAGGGGTGGATGTCACCCTTAGGATCTTGAATGGGAAGGGGGGGCAAGTGGCATATCATATTGAAGGGCATTCAATTCTCTATCCAACGGTACCCAAGTTTATCTTTTTCTGTTGAGTAGTTTCCGAAAAATGCCGTGTCACTTAGAAAACTTCCCACCCTTAGGTTAGGTTAGGTTCCATGTGAGTGGGGCGAATACCTCCCCTCCACTGCGACGCCAGATGGGTCTATTGTGGCTCACCCCTTGAGGTTACAGTTCACCGTACAATCCACATCTTTTTACAAAGTTCATGGTTGAATTGGGTGAGATTTGTCTGAAATCGATAGGTAATAGGTTGGTAAAGCCAAATGTGTCGAACCTTAGTCTTTCTAAGCTAGAGCATGAACATAATATGTGTTCAGCCGTTTCGTCTTCCACACAACAGAACCGACAGTCTGTTTGTTGGTTCAGACCCATCCTTCCCAGGTGGTATCTTGGACGACAGTGTCCCGTAAGCAGTCCAGTCAGAATTCGCAGGTTACCCCTGCTCCATTCTAGGATCTGCCTGGTTATTTTTTCCGATGGTTTAGGCAGGAACGCCTTCGAATGGGTTAATTCTGGTAATTCAGACCAGTACGTGAGTGTTTTTCCCTCCGCCCAGCCCGAGATAGTTGTTTTCGCCGCACTTGCGATGACCCCAAAATATGGTTCTGGTCCTATGAACACAGATTCGGTTCCCTGTTTGGCGAGGATGTCGGCTTTCTCGTTACCCTCCACCCCCTGGTGTCCAGGCACCCACAGCACAAAGTGACTCTGTTGTTAGCACCCAGGCAGTCTAGGGATTCAATACAGCTCCATACAAGCTTGGAATTTATCTTGCTGAAGCTCAGTGCTTTAAGAGCAGCGTGACTGTCTGATACAATACTGATATTTTTGTTTACTAGAGGTTTATTCGACAACTCTCTAGCACACAATTCAATTGCGAATACCTTCGCCTGAAAGATTGTAGCATATTTGCCGAGATTGAC